ATTTCTAGATCCCCTCTTGAAAGAGCCAACTTCTTGACTCAGGCTTTGTCAAGAAGGCAGGGTTTTTGTGCCAGAAGCTTTCTGTGGAAGAAATCAAAAGCACGTCCACACCTCAAAAGTGTATTGCAAAAGCAATGTGCTTTTGTGCAAGAGAGCGTCCACACTGCATGGACACTCTTGCGCAAGAAAGTTCTGATGGCTATTCACAAAGCCCTGGCTGGGTTGATTTAGTTGGGATTGGTCCTGCCTTGGGCAGGGGGCTGGACTTGATGACTCCTGAGGTCTCTTCCAGCTCTATGATTTTAGGCTTCAATGCTACAGCCGACTCTGCATGGACAGATCCTTCTGCCTGGCACAGCCAGCTGCGGGCTTGGGGATGTTGTGTGGCATTCACTCAAGGAAATTGCATGGTCAAGTATTCTGGATAGCAATGGGCACTCACTGGTCAGTGAGACATGCAGTTAAATTGGCTCTTCCTGTAATCCCAAGCTGCTCAGGATGGTTATGTAGAGACCACCGGCCCCTGAGAGCTCTCCAGCTGCAGCTGCAGGGGTCAGTCCAACAGAACAGGGTGGCTGGCTTGCTGGGACATAGGTGAGGCAGCAGCTATGAGTTCTCTCACTCAGGTTTCCGGATCCACCGAGCCAAGAGGGTCAGGTTTCCCTGGGGGCGGAATTAAGTGGAGGAGACAGAAAATCAACACTCTTCAATTATTTAGCAACCAGCAGGAGGAAAGCAGGACTCCACATTGAGTTTTGTGCATGCAGTGTGCCTAATTCAAAATTCCCAAGCGGCATAGCATAGTGGAAGCAGTCTGCACATCCCTGGGAGCCAGGACTTCTGGTGCATCATCTCAACCCTGTCCTTGACTCACGGTGTGCCTCTAGAAATACCCTAGCAGCTTGGTGCCTCAGTTTCCCCTAGTCTATAAAACGGATAAAGATACGTACGGCTTGGTATCTCTAGAGATTACAGGGGTACAGCGTACTAGGCACTGTGGCAATGTTCCTGACAGGCCATGTGGCTCCGGACAGAAAGCCCGGTCTTCCCACAGGCCTTCTCCCCCGACCTCCTTCCTGGCAAGGAATGCACCGTCCTTGCCCAGGGCATCTCTGCAAGGACCAGCTGAGCTGAGCATAACCCTTTGCTCACCAGATCCTGTCTGTTCTGAAATGTGATTTGTCCTTTTCATATGTGTTCATTTTTTTAAATTGTATCCTTTGGTATCTATGGTTGTGACTATTTTCTTCCACTATTTGATCTGAGGAAGTGGGTCTGGCCCACGAAAGCTCATCACCTAATAAACCATCTTGTTAGTCTTTAAAGTGCTACATTGTCCTGCATTTTGCTTCAGCTACCCCAGACTAACACGGCTACATTTCGATCACAAGTCAGGGGTATCTTTCCCGCCTCAGCCTGGTCCCAGGACCTGTATCCCTCCAAAGTAGGCACCCAGACTTCTGGCCTTATTCGGCGCCACATGGAAACAGGGACCAGTGTCCTCAGGGCCAGAGGCGGTCGGTACAATGGCCCACAGTAGGGGGTGGGCATCCCGTGGGGCCACTAGCCCCTTGCATGGGGGGGGGAGGGGCGGCCAGGG